TCTTCCCAGCAACACTGCTCCACCCAAATCAAACCCCCCGAACGAAAGTGACCTTTACTTTAACCACTGTTTTCTGCAACATCGGAGAATGGAGACTCCAGGAAAAAATAGCTCGACTGTCATAGTATACCATAGAGCATCCCAATACCCTTGCGCAATGCACACCTGCGTGTCGTAGTTTCGTGAACCATGATTCGTGAGAGCAAAACATTGGCGGGTCTGGGTTGATGTACACATGCTCTTGGAAGCCACGCCAGACCCAAATCTGCGAGCCAACATTCCCGGGGAACTTGCAAAGCCAGGGAGCTCCATGTTGCAGAGTGGCCCTCTAGGCTGCGCTGCTCGCAGCTCGGGGAGCCTTTGCGGAAGTTCTGGGACTCAACCGGACCGCCGCCGCGAGTTTCAAGTCATGCTTGGAAGAGTGGCTGGGCCTCTGATTCGGCTCCGAGCCGAAGTTGGCAGTGCGAAGCATGCTGTCAAGGCCACCGTTGGCCTTTCAAGCTCAGGGTCGCAATTGCACAAGCAAGTACTTGCCGATGCATGCGTATGAGTGTGTTGCTCTGCGACCCAATGACAACATGCGGGTTCGTGTTGTGCTTTGCCACTGGGATTTCCTGTCCTGTCCTGTCCTGCCTGTCGATGTGTCAACTCTAAAGACGGCTCAGACTCCTGTGACCATGACACTTCCCCGTTGAATGGAGCTCGTGGACTGTGCAGCAGACTCCAGCTGCACCTAGTAAGTAGTAACTAGTATCTGGCCCAGGTTCGCGGAACTCTGTGTTCGAACCCCTGGGCCTTTGCATTGCGGGCTTCGGCAGAATTGGAACCAGGGCAGACCAGGTCCCACAGTCCCACAGCTGCGCCTGCAAGTCCGGCCAGAAGGTTCCATCGCTGGTAAAAAGCAGCGGACATTCGGAGCCCAAGGTGTCCAGCCTTGGTCAAGTCGCGCTCCCCGGACTTGAGCCTACATACCCTCCTTCGCTGCAACTTGGCAGCATCATCTTGCGCAGCTTTTCCAAATAATCCGGGTCGATGCCCCAGTACCCGTACTCGTTTTCCACCTGCCAGGCGAAGCGAACTTACCAGCTGCACATCCCCGACGAACTCTGACTTCTATCTTGACTTAGACTCCGCAACTGCGCGGAAGGCTCCGCTTAAGAAGATGTGTCTGGAAGCCGCTTGGGGCCGGATGAATTGGAACGCAGGCCACCTGCATGGCGATGATGGGGCCACCGTTTGCTGCCAGATGCGGGCGAATTCGCGGCAGCAGCTGACTGCACCACCACCTGACCAAGAATGGGATTATGTAGGAAGACCGCGACTTCGCAGTACAGAGAGGCGTTTTTCGGGTGTGCATGGACCACGTCCCCAAAAACGTCAAGCCGCTCCGCCTCTCCACTGCCTCAAGGAACTTCGGGTCCGAAGATCTCAACGGAACAGGATCCGGATTGCGCAGAAGCCACCTTGGCGAGTTGGTGCTGTGACCCGTATTCTCTCTGTTCCGCTGGTTCTTCCTACTGAAACGGCAACATGCAGGGAAGTTCCCGCAAGTGGATCTTCACATGGGCTGACTCTGAAGCTCCACGGAGCGAGCATCCCCAAATGCAGACAAACTCCGAAGCTTGCCAAAGGAGCCTGACACTTCCTGCCTAAGGTGCCGACCATGGAAGGCCGCCGAAGTCCCACTCCGCGCAGATGTATGGCCCGGGTCGAAGCAGCACATCCAGCTGCAGCTCCTGTGTTTCTTGTGCGGCTCGAGACGATGGGCTCTTGGCTGACAGAATTGACTCTGTATTTGGGTTTCGGGCGTGTTGTCAAACAGATGGCTTTGCCACTGGAGCTCAAAACTCAAAAGCCCAAGCCACTCGTGAAATCTTCACACCGAGTGAAAGGCCCTCGCGAAGCTCCTGACACAGCTCCAGAAAAGCCGACAGATCGCAGCGACCCTCGAAGTCGAAGCTTCCCGGCTCGGGCTCATGAAGGTTCCAAGGCACGTAGACCTGGCTCAAGAGATTTAGGCGGAGTTCGAATGTTCAGCATTTCGGGTCAGGGCGCAGGATCATGAATTTTTGTGTAGAAATTTACGCAGGTCACCAAAGTATCACACTGACTCAGAGGCACATGGGTTTAGATTTTGACTTTCGGCTGCATCATACGGAAATCTGACTCTATCTGACAGTATGTAACATATACGGTGAAGCACAAAGAAGAGGGCATCCTGAAGAAGGCAAGGACAGAGCAAGGTGCAAGATGAGAAACGAGCATGCTCTGTTCTCCAACTACCTATATGGTGTATGGTTTATATTACTAGTACCCCCATAATAAAACCCAATATATACACTCACCGATATTGAAAGGGAGCCCTATCTACACTCACCAAAACAGGTAATTAAAACCCTACTTCATATACCTGGGAAAAGCCAAAAAAGGAACAGGCAACCATTCATTCCCTGTGGTGGTCCCTGGAGTTGCCCGTGGTGTGGGTTGCTTTTCTCAGGCCTTCGAAAGGCTTTTATGATTCCTACGTATGCTTATTTCTGAAGACAGAATTCTTAGTATAATGCATTTGCTGCTTTGCACGGACCGTGTCATGCCATGCAAGTCCGGACTGACAGCTCCCACTCTGGAGTTGGGAGTCAAGTTCGCAGAAGTCTTCGGGGCTTAGCGGCTTGGCACCTCGGCAGCGTTGCATCCAAGCGCCTTCAGCTTCTCCATGCGATCACGCCACTGAGGCGGCAGTACCCTGAAGTAACCTCATAGTCTCAGCGTCTAGGGCTTGGGGAGTTTAGGGCGTCCGGGTCACACGGATCTACATCTGAATGCTCCGAAACCCTTTAAAGATCCCAAAGCTCCGAATAGGAATGCCAGAATTAACCGGAACATCCAATCTCCCCAGCAGCTTCGAACCGCAAACCCGAACGTAGTGTACCCTTTCGGAAGCCCAGAAATACAGCTACATGCAGCCGTTGCCACTCACAGAGCCAGAGATGATGCGATGCACGTGGCCATTCAGAACAAAGTCGTCGCCCCGGATCTCGAGCCTGCTGAGCCCGAGGGGTTTCGTGTTTCGGGCTGAGCCGATTTCAGGGCTGGTGGCTGCTTCTTGTCAGAACTGACTCGAAGCTTCAGACAAAGGGTGTCTGAAGGAGTTCACAAAAATAACGAGAACAAATCAGACAACCTCCAAGTCTCTGGCCAAACCCGGGTTGCCGGTTCAGAGCTGAGGGTGTGAGATGGTACTGAGATGGTGTAAGGCCTGTGTAGAGTCAGTTGGGGTTTCCCGACTGCCTCCTGGACGCATCCACAGAAACTCGAGCGGCGGTCTGGAGGCGACCTCGAGCGGCTAGGGCACATCGATGTTTCGGAGTTAGAGCTTCAAGGATGTCGTCGTGACTTCGTGGCCAGGACCAGGACAACAAACCCACTCTTCCTCATTCGCCGGCTCTGCTCAATTTCCGCAAACGTGCCACGCAAAATTCGGCAAGCCTCTGCAGACAAAGCGCAGTGAAGGACATAACAAAACCTTTTGAAACGGAAGCCAGGCCAAGGCCCCAGCCTTTTGGCCGTGTGTGGAGGGCAGCGAGGGCCGCGAAGCCACAGATGCCGCAGAGGGAAGGCGAAGCCCCAGGCTCCCTGAGGCTCAGGGCCAACTTCTGCTCACAGGCATCGGGATTTTTGGCGGAAGCTCTGCATCGTGGTACTAGGAAGTACTCATCAGCACGGCCTCTGCAGCCGCTTTACTCCACGTCTCAGCGGCAGAGGTCGGAGGAAGCTGCTTGCGCTCCCATGCCTCACAAGCTTGGAGACAATGAAAAGAGAATCGACCCCGGAAGATCCTGAAACCTCACTGACACCCATAACTTGAAACCAGCATACGAGTACCGTACACGCGAGTGGAGGTGGAGCGCGAAGGAAGCTTCGCCGAAGCTACGACTCTTCCAGAGCAAAGGCTTCTCCTACGGCTCCACGTGTTGACCAGCATCGTTCTGGAAGGCTCACACATGTCAACGTACCACACATGTCAACGTGCCGGCCTTTGGAACGAGGAGGGCGCTCTGGACGCTACCCACATGCGATGTGTGTATGAGTGTATGAGGCCACTGCAGCAGTCACATCATTGTCGCCAGTTGCGGCATTGAATTCTCCAACCACAGCATGCATGAATTTGCGTGGATACTACAGAAGGATGAAGGATAGTCTTGGGCCACACACACACACACGTACACATGGTAACGGTTCAAGATACAAAGGCCGGAAAACAAAACTCTCCGCGGGACTCTGCATCCGGAATGCGAAGATCTGCAACGAAACTATGACTACGTATTCCCTTCGGGACGCCGTCCAAGCGCAGTTTATCAAGCACTACATGGATCTTTCGAAGCACAAGGACCCTCACGACAGGCCAGAAATCACATGTGCAGCGCTGCGCAACCTCCAAGTCGCCATCACGGGCCGCCTTTGCGAAATCACATGTTCTCACTATCGCGATGTGCAAGGACTCAGCCGGGCCTTCAGAAGCATTTCAGTTGCAGCGCATGGACCAAAAAAACAAGGCGAACTGAAGACGGGTGATCATGTCTCGGCTGAGCTGTGGTGTGGACTTTGTGCTCAGGGCATCCAAACACCTGCAGGTGACGGGGCAACTGGCAAGGACATTGTGGACATTACGTGGAGTGGTGTTGTCGAGACAGCAGCGACGTATGTCCTGGCAGTGTGGACCTGCTCCAAAACGCGGCGGTCAAGAAGATGGCAAGCACTTGCTGCAAAGGCTTTACACTGCAGCGGTGGCAAGTGCAACTGAAACGGACAGAGCAAGGCAATGCAACAGTCTCTGTTAAGAGCTCCTCTGCCTTGGATGGCGGCCCTGTACACTTAGCTCTCTCCGTCTTGGAGTGCCTTTTGCCCTCCTCAGAACTAAATTGGAATTTCCGGCAGACCAAACACCTCAGAAAGAGTCAACTCCGTTACTTGCTGGCTAGCCCCCTGCCTGAAAATCCCAG